TTGAACTGCCAGCCTTCTGGCTAGCAGTCAAATGCCTTAGACACTATGCCACCAGAGTTCCACAGTGCCCATGAAATTGCTGAGGGCCTTTTGTGCCACGGGAAGTAGACTGGCTCCTTCCACGGAAAGCAGAGCTTCAGGACTGGGGGGTGCAGCTTAAGCACAAGGACCACATTTTAAGCCGGGCAGGAGCAGAATCGCTCTGAGAGCCTGGGAGAAACCATGGCTCCTGGGACCCTAGCTGAGGATGCTCTTGTAGGAGTTCCCTGCAAAGACTGCAAATTGGACATAGTACCCTGCACTTAAAGGGCTTTTCCAGCATTGAGAGTATCCCAATTCTCATTGTGGGTGTGCTGTGTGGCCAGCACTGCCTTCCACCCTCCAGGTAACATGAAAAATTGGGCAACAGTCTTAAAACATTGTGTCTCAGTAAGGAAAAGGACCTGGGAAAATTTCAGTGACCCAATAAATCCTGTTTTCCTTCCATTGTACCATGTTGTATAGTATGTACTAGAACAGGAGTAAGTGAACATTTTCTGTAAAGAGCCAGATAGTAAATATTTCAGACTTTGTGGGTCACATGGTCTCTGTAGCAACTATTCAACACGACCAGTGTAGTAGAAAGCAGCTGTAGAGGATTTTTTGAAAAAAAAAAAAAAAAAAAATGGGCATGGCTGTGTTCCAATAAAACTTTATGGACACTGTAATTTGAATTTCACATAGTTTTTGTATGTCACAAAATATTACTCTTCTTTTGATTTTTTTCAACTATTTTGAAAACATAAAAATCATTCTTAACTCATGGGTGTGCAAAAACAAACGGCAGTCCAGAGTTAGCCTGCGGCCCGTAGTCTGCCGACTCCTGTACCAATTAGCCATGGGAAAGCAATAAAGAAGCCAGAGGGATCCCTGACATGTGGGCTGTCAGTTGCCCAGCAGGAAATAGATGGCACATTCAAAGAGGTAATGGAAGTGAGTTAATGAAGGAACTGTTCATAGTGATGTAGACAGGGTTTAGAGGATTATCAAGAGCTGGGGACACACCCAGTTGTCAGCACCAGCCAGTGAGAGGCCGTTGCTGCCCTTCCCTTGGGCTAGGGGAAGGGAGCTGTTTCTGAAGCTCCTGAAGACCTATATCTGTGGATGCTAAGTCACTGCCAAACAGCTCCTACAGGAAAAGAGCTGGGGAATAAACACTTAACTGCTCTCTCCTCCCATCCCCATTGATTACCCAACTCAGAGACACAGGGCAGGGAAGGCACATTATAGAAATCCACAGGGCACCAAGCAAGGCAGAAAAGAGAGAAAAAAATAAAAATGTATTTAGAAGGGAAAGCACATTAGAAAAATCAATATTCCACCAATAACATGTTATGATTGAGTTTTTAAGTTGTAAAGGATTGGTTTGTTGAGCCTCTTGGTGTGTATGTGTGTGTGTGTGTGTGATTTTTAACCAACTCATGTATAAGAGCATTAGACGATCCAAGAAAAATTTCAAAAAGGATATTTTGTATGTGTTTCAAAGATTTAGGTGACCTCACTTGAAATTGCAATGTGTTGTTGCTTTTATGTGACACATTATTAAATGCTGGCCATAAAAGGAGAACATTGCCTTTCTTTGTGGAAATAGATTATGACCATCAATGGGGAATGGAAATGATAGGCAATCCAGGTTAAATGTGATATTTCTCCTGCAGACAGCTCATTAATCTCAGTGAGATTGGGAGACAAATGTCAGTGGTGGATTTCCTTTTGGGGAAGCTGCACAGTCTGGAATCACAGCCAAGACAAGCCCTGTCCATGGACGGTCTGCAGTGGGATCGTGGACCTTGACTGAGCAGTGGCCTGGATGGCTCAGACAGATGTTTGAAATGGAAATATTTTTTTGTTTTGTTTGAACTGCTTATCTTGGAGGTGCCTTTGATTTTCAGTGGAAACTTTCCCAAGTGCTGAGAAATGAATCAGCCATTTGATAACCTTGCTTCAAGCAGATGTCATTCAGACTTATTGATAGAGAATATTTTTCAGTGAGTTTCCCTTCTTTCCTTAACAGTGGGGCCAGCCTGCCTCGAAGGTTGATTGTTTTCCACTATGGCCTTTTGAGGGAGCTCTGTCAGCATAGTGCCAAGGCACTTGACTGCTAACCAGGAGGCTGGCGGTTCAAACCCACCAGCCACTCCTCGGAATGAAGGTTGGGCAATCCTACTTCCGTAGTGATAACTGCCTCGGAAACCCAAGGAGGGGTCGCTATGAGTCGGGGCCGACTCGACGGCACATAACAACAACAACAACAACATGGCCTTTTGAATGACTAAATGCAAATCTTTTTAGGTTGTGTGCCCTTGTTTGTCTTGGCCCCACTTGCTTGCTTATAGATAGAAGATCCATGGGTTTCCCAGTGTCAAAAGCATCATGACATCTATAGGAAGGGAGAGGGTGATGCAATCTGTGATTGGTGGGAGCCCAAGTCCTTGGGAGCCCGTCTTAGGTACTGAACTTAAGAGCAGTGTTGTACCGTACCGCATGCTCATCTTTAACGACCAGCTGCAGCCCACTCTTAAGTGCTTCGGGACTGACGATTGTCGGAACCTCTTTGACATGGTTTCACATCTTCACCATATTTCTAACGTCTTTTCAATTTTAGGCTCAAGAATCTTTAAACCCAAACAACTTAGAATATTGGATGGAAGATATTTATACTCCAGGCTACGACTCGTTACTAAAACGCAAGGAAGCCGAATTCAGACGAGCCAAGGTCTGCAAGATAGCAGCTCTGATTGCGGCTGCTGCATGCACAGTCATCCTGGTCATTGTAGTGCCCATCTGTACCATGAAATCCTGAGCTAATGGACACAGTATTATAGACAGCTTCAGACTACTAATGTCTTCCTCTGTGTTTTAAAGTCTTGCAGCAAAAGTCATAATGATTTGTTGAACTAGAGATGAAATCTTAGAGACTTTTCTGCAAATGTTGAAGATGGTCTTCAGAAAGTATATATTCTAGGGAGAAATCTACCTACCTATTAGCTTTGACTTGGCTACTTTGATGCATTTTTAGAAGTGCAATATTTTTCCTACCAGAAGAATGTAATGGGTTACCAGTAGATACAAAATTAATTCCAAGCAAAAAAAAAAAAAAAAAAAGATTAATTGGGCTCTTTCCATTTTGAATGATGTTTTATGGTGGGGACTATACTATACAAAGTATATTTAATACATGCATCTTTGGGAGTAGCTAGGGGAGATAGCAAGATGAGAATGAGAAGTTAATGTTCTGTTTTCCTGAATGTTCTTAGACCATTGTTGGTGAAGTAGCAGAGATGTATCCATAAAGGATGTTAATTCTCTGCTGGCTTTGAACAAGGGCTACTGACTTTTCATTCTTGCCCTTCTGTCATCATTATGGTCCTCAGTGCAGATCTTCATGGAAACATTCTGGACCTTCTTCCTTGTGCCCACAATAGGAAGGAGCTAGACTGCCAAATCAGGTGTGACATGAAGTGTGATCCCTGCTTAATGGGCCAACATATTCAGGCCAGGAGACCTTCACCTCCTCAGCCTCAAGGTGTTGGGGGTCTGCTTGCTAACCATGTAAGGTAAATATTTGAAAATCATGGCTATCCCAAAGGATCTCCCATTCTGCTTTGGCACGTGACACCACTCCTTGGTTTTTTATCTGGTACCAGATGTGCTGCTTCTCATACATGAGTTGAAGAGTTTGGAACTTGTCCTTGTGCCTTGAAGAGTAGATACAATGGCTAAACTCTGACTTTCTAACCAGAAACCATGAGTTCCTTGCACCACTAATGACAGCCATTTCCCATGGCTTTAAAAAAGATGTTGAAAGCTTGTCCAGTAACACAATAAAGGCACTGAAGTGTTCTTGCCTACTCCAAACACATACTCCAGAGTTTTGAATACCTGTCAGCAGTGCAAAAAATATTACCTATTTAACTGTTTATCTATATGTCTATCTAAATATCTGGTTTTCATTTATTGTCTTCTCTGTTAAATAACTTGAGAGCAAGGTTTCTCCAGGGTACCGGAAGCAGTTGTACTTTCACCAGAATTAGATCTCAGTTTCCACCTGTGGTGCTTTGATAATAATTGCACAGAAAGAATCCTTTTCAGGATGTGATGCTAACGTCTTGTTACATGTTAAAGAAAAAATGATTGCTAGAAACTAGCTACCTTAAATTCTGCTAAGAACAAACCAAATCAAACCAAACCAAACCCATTGCTGTTGAGTTGATTCTGACTCATAGCAACAGAGTAGAACTGCCCTATAGGATTTTCAAGATTATAAATCTTTATAGAAGTAGACTGCCACATCTTTCTCCTGTGGAGAGGCTGGTGGGTTCAAACCGCCAAACTTTTGATTTAGCAGCAGAGCACTTAACCACTGTGCTACCAGGGCTCCTAATTTAAGAACAAGGTGGGATATAAATTTTATTAGTAAGAATTACCACTCTGGATGCTATAGTAAATCTCTGCAAGAAAGGTTTGGGAAGCATCTCAATTTTAAAAGCAATAGGAGTCCAACATTCATCCTAAAAACTTCTAAATAATGCTTAGCTTTCTCTCTTAATTCTATTGTTCATCATTAAGAGGTTGTCAGTAAATTTTATGATGTTAATGAATAGGATAGATGGTTTCATCTTCATTTTATCTATATCTATTATCATGTTTATGTATGATTTTTCAATTAGATGATTGAAACTTAAGCCTTAGTATGAAAAACTGAGGATTTGTAATTGAGAATGAGTACTGTCTATTGTCAGAATTTTAGTCTTTTGTTGCTCTGTTTTGGGTTGGGCACATTACCTTCAATAAGATTGTTTCTTTCAACAAAAAGAGGACTTCAGATTACTACCCTTGGGAGTAGCCATTCCACATTCCCCCCAATCAATACAATTCTTCCCTTATCCATGCCCACCATTCTCTCTCTCTCTTTCTTTTTTTTTTAAATCACAGATTAGCTGCCAGAGCACCAGAGATAGGTAGTTTGTAACCTCTTGCTTTGTGATTAGCAGAAAAGTGGATATGTGCATACCCCAGGCTGAGAGCAAGCTTGTAAAATCCCAACCAGACTCCTCCATTTGACAAATAGGATCATGGAGGCTGAACCAAAAGATGTTTGTCACTGCCCTTGGGTGAATCTATTCCGAATGGGCCCCATTTGGGCCATGTGCCTGCCTACCTAGCAAAGGGGTGACTATAAGTCCCACTCTATGCATGGAAGTGAAAATTTTTCTAGGATTTTCTTCTACCCTTCTCATTTCTGGGGAGGAATTCAGAGAAATTCAGTGCAGCTTTAAAATTTAACTCAACACCATTTAACTAATGGAACCATCCAGAACCTGGTAATATTCAAAGGAAACCAGACAATGAAGGCCCAAAGGCAAGGTGGTTTCCTCTGGAAAGGGACATCCTCAGCTTGAGAGCATCAAGGCTGATGTTGAGGTTACTGGCCTTTTCTAAGGTTTGGACTTGATGGTTGCTTGGGGTCTTGAGATCTAGAGAAGGTGAAGTCCATAGTTGGTCCTTTATCTCCAGTAACCCCAAGCTTGCTATAGCTTGCTTTGCATGGATCCAGGCTCACCCTAGCTTCTCTATTTGTAGAGTTGGGCAGCACCAGAGTCTGACTTGGAGAAAGACATCTACCCATCCTTCTAAAAGTTGTCCCTCATCTCCTGCTGAGCTCCCAACAGGTGACATATGGACTGGCCTATCTGCCATCTTCTACCATAATCCCTGCCATTTTTACATAACATATAAATTCTTGTGCCTGACTCTAAAATCACTTCATTATCCAAATTCATTTCATTTTCCTCACATTTTAAACTAACCAGATATTATTTTAAAGGGATTATTTTGAAATCAGATGTCCTTAGACAATGGTCAAATTCAGAACCATTCCATCCTCTTTTCTAAATCAAATTTGTGTTAAACACAGCCTTGCAGAGAAGCAAAAATTTCTCCACTTCAAAGTTTTCAGGCATTTATACCAGCACCTCCTTCTTTAAACTGCAGATATGGGAAAGCAAATCATACTTACATCATCCATAATATAAATTGTTAGAATTTTAGGGCATGCAGCTATGTGATTATTATCTGCAAGTCTAGTATGACAGATTTGCTAAGAATCACTGTTCTGAGTATCTGTGCCATACATTCTGATACTCTTATTGGAATCAAGGTAGTGCTGTTTTTGTTTACAGTTTATCAAGATAACAGCAGTGCCCCCCACCCTTTTAAGGAAAAATAAAAAAATAAAAAGCTCTGCCATAAATGATTCTGTTAAGTGGTATAAAAATTTGTGAATGTTGAAATTCAACATGCTTCATATTATAACTAATCTGCAAGAATATTGTGGTCAATTGTGTGAATACCAAATCAGTATATGCTGTATATTGTACTATGGAGATTTGTATTTAAAGGCAAAGATATTAGTAATTGTTGATGTAATTGAGGAAGAGGGTATTAGATATTTATTAATTAAGTAACAATAAGAAATGCAACAAACTTCCTTATTTATGCCTTATGAATAAAAGGGTGTGAAATGTAAGTTGACATTTTATGCAGGAGACTCTAGAGGAAAATATATCCTTGAAGGCAGGGGCTGTGTGGTTTCTATGTTTGTTCTGTACAGCTCTCAGCACACTCTTGGTGCTTGATAAATGTTATATAATACCAATAACTAAGCACATTTTTAGATTTTTTTCAAATGGCTTGTGTAAAAATTGGTTAATGTACAATGGTTGGTTTGAAGCTATCATGTAAAATTTGCCTCTCCAAATATAATCAAAAATAAACTGAGAAAATGATAAGATATCTTGCAGTGAGATTTTATTCTATGTGCAAATTATAAGTGATCAGCTATATGCACCAATCAGGAGTGTTCAGCTTGATGAATCTTCACAAATTAAACACATCTGTGAAATCAGCACCCAGATAAAAAAAAAAAAAAAAAAAATTCCCAGCTCCTAAAAAGCCTCTGTCATGCCTCTTTCCAGTTAAAACCTGGCAAAGAAAACTGCTATCCTGACTTCTAACAGCACAGATTAGTCTTGTGTGCTCTTGAACTTTATGTAAATGCAGGAATTGTACTCTGTGTACTCTTGCTTTTCTGTTTTCTTTCACTCAGCATTATGTGTATGAGAGGTCCATGTTGTGTGTGGTTGTACTTTTCTTATCTTCATTGCTGTGTAGTGTGCCATTGTGTGAATATACCACAATTTATTTATCCATTTGTCTCAGTAACCTAGTGTTATCATAGTGTGGTAGTTACGTTTGTGTGTCAACTTGGCTGGGCCTGGTTGAGTGGCTGGGCAGCTGGATGTAGTATTCTGCATGATGAGACTGGTAATCAACTCCATGGTGGAATCTACTGTGAGCAGCTGAGTAGCTGCCTTAGGAATATGGTTTGCTTCCCGTATATAAGTAGAAACTTTGGGGAATGGTCTCTAACTTATGACATGCTCGAACCCTACATGTAGCTGTGTCGTTGTTCAGTAACTTGCCATGTTCTGCCGACCTTGGGACTTTCAATGGACTTGAATGAATGGTCTGCTGTGTGGTTTGGTAACACCGGGACCATGCCTTTTTACGTGTCAACCTTGGGCTTGTCAGTCTCAGCAGCCAACAGCTGCCTGAGTGCAGAAAAGCCTCTAGCTTCAGTGGGCTGGGAGCAGGGGGCAGAGCTGAAGCCCAAGGCTGAGGGGCTTTCTACCCAGTCCCTAGAGCCTGGCACTTTGAACTCGGACTTCTATCCTACCAAATTGTAAGAGAATAAACTCCTGTTTGTTCAAGCCATCCCATTTGTGGTATATTCTTGTCAGA